TATGAAAACAAGAATACTCAACACATTTAAAAGGATCAACTTTCTAAGTTGAAAAGTGGTTTTTTCGATCGTTTTCGTTGGCTAGTGACGACAATAATAAAGTAATATAGGTATTTTGTAGCCCTTGAAAATCTCTATCGATCGGTTTTAATTTGAAAAGTTTCATACTCGTTGTTACGACATACAAGAATATTTTTCTTTTTCAGATTTTCGAGAAATAAGCTATTTCAATCTGCGACGTCGGAACTCCTAGGAAAAGAGGCATAACTACGCCAAAATAGCGTCTTTTGGGTTCAGATATTTTTTACTTTGATGGAAAATGACTACTGTATCAGATTCAGAGGCAAAAGTTGAGTTAAAATTCTCTTCTTCAATTCAGCTGGCGAGGAACATCAGATTTAAGCCATTTTGAATAGGATTTTGAAAGTTTGAATTTTCGAGCTTCACATTGATTGCAACGAAACTTGAGCTACATGGCGAGAAAGAGCACACTTCAAAGTACTCTAAGACATCTTTATTACCATTTTTTTTGTTTTCGAAATTCTATAAAAGATTCCATATATTATTGAAAAAATGGCTTAGAAAGTTGATCTTTTGAAATGTGTTGAGTATTCTTGTTTTCATATTTATGCTAAGCTGTGTACAGAAAAACGTCTGATACAAGCCTTATAGAGAATTCAACGGGCTATCGTTTAACGCTAACTTCAGCTCGTCACGATTAAACCTGTGCGAAATATTCACGAAATACAAAGTATGCCATTCATTATGCGCCACCCGGTATTTTCATGAAAAACAAACGTTGATGTAAAGTCATTTTGATACATCAAAAAAGCACATTATAACGTTAGAATTATATGATTAACTCAAATTATACCATTCAGTTGGAGTATTATCTTCGAATGCATAAAATTGACTCATTCGTGGAGCGACTTGACACCAGGCTTTTTTCAATAAATTTTCCCAATGATTATCCGTAACGATAGTAATACTACTCCAAGTTTTGAAATTTGCTTTGACATGTTCTAGGAAGTTGATACCTGTACTATGCTCGTAATCACCGACTTTAACATATTTTTTCTGACCAGAGGATTCAACAAAACCATCAAATGTTTGGACGTTGCTTCCCTTATGAGTTGATACTCTAACTTCAAAATTGGAAAATGTCTTGGCGTTGCCTTTCGGTCCACTGAAATAATTGACCGATACTGAGTACATTCCATTCTTTGCCGGTTTGAAAAAACAATTTTCTATAGGCATTGTAGGTGAACATTTCGTGTTCGGACAAGAAGACGGATAACAGTTACAGACATTCATATCCCTGTCTAGATAACCCGAACATGTTCCACACTTCGGATGAGCATAGTATATATCAGTTCCACAAGGACAAGTAACATGTAAATCTAAATCATTGCTATCATGCCAGGATAATGTTATTGTAACGTCTCCTACGCCAACTGAATATTGGCTCATTCTTTCCCTGATAGATTGGTTTTCTTGAATTACAAGTTGACTTTGTGAATGTTCTTTCCATTTGCTGTGTCTTATATTAAATTCACTATTGCATAGATCAAAGACAAAGACTTTTTTAGTATTTCTAAGTAATTCAAACGATCCATTGAATGCCATTAATCGATGTTTATCGGAATGATGTGCATCGTGTTTGTTCATTCTTTCTGTACATTTGCAACCACAAAATGGACATTGTTCAACGCATCCTAATGCTTTTTCTAAATTTTCAAATTTGATTTTATCTCTCTCTATCAAAAGGCTATCTGTGAAGATAAACTTGGGATGAGATCCTTTATTTTCTGCGACTATTCTGTTTTTAAAGCCAGTTACAAATATTTTTGGATTACTTATTGAATAAATTGAAATTGATATAGTTTTGAATAGATTGTTTGACATATGTAATTTTTTTAAATTTTCTACAACAATAGGCAATTGTAGGTGTCGATTTATTTTCATTACTTCTTTACGATTTCCTTCTAAATAGGCTTTGAATATTTTTGTATAGTACTCTTGATGATCAGGGATCGGCGTACGATTTGTGAATGTAGTTTCCAATTGTTCTAGGATTTCGATCAAAATTTGATAATTTTGATCATGTAGTTTAGTGTAATTTTCGTTACATATTCGTTGTACTTCTGCATCTTTACTTTGAAAAATCGTTGAATAGACCGTTTTCATGTAATCAAGCATATTTGTTATGTATTCATAGATACCATTTTTATCATATTGTCCATCTTTTTTCTGAAAAACTTTATCCGATTCAACAACTAAATTATCTGGAGTGAGATCAGTCTCTCTTTTCAACAGATTTTTGTATTCACTTTCTATCGTCGACAAACAATCGCTCTTTAGATTATCGAACACGTGTTTGGCCATAAGGTTTGCATTATCGATATCATCAAAAGCTTTCTCAAGTCTTTCTATAAACTCGTCTTCCATTTTTTGAATTTTTTGTGTAACTTCATTTTCAAGTTTTTTGAATGCCTCCTCTTGATCTATTGTCATTTTTTTAAGAATAATATCATATAACCATCCGATTAATTCAGTTCCAAAATCAACCGTGAATTCATAATCTTCAGGATTCAAATGTTTTTGATTTATTTCAGTTATTTTTGCGTAAATTTGAAGGAGATGTTGCTTTAAACATATTATTTGATATTCTTTTCTTTCTACTATTTCTTTTTTAATATTTTTTTGAAGATATTCATTCATTTCAAGTAACATTGCATAAATAAGAAGTGCTTCCTCCAAATTGGGACAAAGTTTGATTATTTCTGCCATTATTGGATTAAATGGAGTTTGCCTATGTGAAGAATATTTTCTTTTTTCGTTTTCAGACTTTGCTGTATGAAATACAGTTGAAACCCATTGATTAAGTTGCTGCCATTTTTTCACCAGCATATTTTGGGATTTTTCATTGTAAACAACTTCTTGGTACTGTTGTGTTGAAACATTCGAATGAGCCCGTTGTGTTGAAACATCCGAATGAGCCCGTTGTGTTGAAACATTCGAATGAGCTTGTTGTGTTGTTTTGAAATAATTTTGCTTTCTTTTGATAAGCGTTGGTATTTTTTGCAAAATAGAGGTCGATTTATTTTCATTGAATTCATTAAATTTTTCCAAATCATTGAGAAGTTCGATAATATTATCGACAGAATTTTTTCCTAATACTCTATCCTCGAGTTGCACTAAACTAAACGGAATGCTTTCAGTCGGCATTGTACCTCTCGCTGATGTGATCTGTTGAATGACAAAATTTGGCAATTGTTTAATTATTCTTTCTTTATTTTTATTCATTTCGTCTATGATGGTTCCTTGCGTTTTTTTCTTTTCATCTTGAAACCATACTTTGAGCTGCTTCTTTTTCGATTCCTTATTAGAAATATTTTGCTGAATCTTTTGCCATTCAATAATTTTGATATCACATTCATTTTGCAAATTTTTTAAAGCAGACTCTATTTTACTAACAATTTTTCTTTTTTCAATAACTTTTTTATACTCTTGAATTGCTTGTATTTTACATGCTGTAATGGCATAATGTAACCGGCTTCGATATTCAATTACTAATTTTTCTTCAAATGATTTTGTTTTGATGTCTTGATCGTAACGATTATTAACTTTTTCTACAAACACGATTTCTTTATCGTCAAAACTATTTCCAATGTCATCACTTGTGCTATATGGAATTTCAATAAGTTTTTCTTGCTCTGCGATTATTTTATCAAGATCAGGACGAAAATTTTGCTCAATTGAATCTGTCATAATATCTGTAATAATTTTGCCAAGTTCTGCTCTTTGCATAATTTCTTTAATGGAATCAATCATGAGAATATTATTGAATAGATTCATTGTTGTCCAAATTTCCGATGCTTTCTGAACCCAATCACTAAGACTCTTGAATTGTTGATTTGGCGAATTAGCTTGGTCAAAAATGATCTTTCTTAAATCTTGAATTTGTTCTGCAAATTTGGCATTTGTTGTTGACTTTTGAAACAATTCTTTGTTATTGTTATAAAAAGAATCTTTATTAAAGGCTGTCAACATTAAGAAAAAGGCTTTTTCTTCTTTGAAATCGAGTACTTCGCTTAATTCAACTGTACTCAGTTTACAGATTTCTTTTAGTTCTTTTAATACACTAGCAATCATTTCCTTTTGTAATCCAACATCTAAATTCATCATATTTCTCAAAATAAACATAATGACCGGACGAGTTTTAAACATTTTCAACTGATTAGCAGCAAAAAGGCTGATGGTAAGAATCTTTTTCATTGATGCATTAAGTTCTCCATTTAAGTTTACAAGCATAATTTGTGAACATGCCATTGAAAACACAGTTAACTTTTTATCATATTCTTCATTTGCTTTTTCAATAGACATAAGTCCTTCTGTATCAAGTACCAGCAATTCTCTTGCATTTGAATAATTTGTTTTAAAAAGAGATGCATATAAACCTTTTGTACAACGACCGGCACTCATTTGAAAATTACTACCAAATAACATATTTAAGAGAGTCGATTTTCCCGAACTTTGTGGTCCAATGACTGAAACAACAAATAGTGCTCTTTTACTAACTGGGCCAAATTTCGTATCAAGTCCTCTGAAGATGTCCGAAATAATTTTTGAATTAAACTCATTATTATCACCATCAATAATTTCAATTTCATTTCCTTTCGTTATGTATTCAACAAATGAGTTAATATAGAGGTCAGGTTTGAATCGTTGAGTATTATTATCTTGTTTACTCAGAAAATGTTCATCGCCGTAAATACTTAGTAATTCTCTCATGAAAAAATCTTTATTGATCGTTTTATTATCGATTAATTCCGAATTTTCCTTTTTTTCTTTTTCCAACTTTTCTTTTAAACTTTTGTATTCTTCTAATTTTGCAGGATTACTATTTTTGTTGCCAAGATCCTCAATGGATTTTGTACACGCTACTAATTTAGCCAAAATATCATTTCTTTCTTGGAGCAATGGAGATAAGATAGGACTTTGCCAAACGCTTACTCGTTGATCCATTTCATTGATCAAATGAAACTCTTGTCTTATGAATAGGTCATTATATTCATACACTAAATCACTTGGGAACGTAGATGCTTTATTTTCAGATAAATCCTCCATTTTTTTATTAATTTTGGTTAATTCGGCTTGTTTCGTTTCTGCATCTTTTCCAGCGAATGCACTTTTTTTCTTTCGTTCATTTTGTATTTTATTATTTGCATCAATATGTTTAAATAAGAATGATTGTAAGTTGTTCATGTTTCTATCAATCTTCTGTAATTGCTTATCAATGTCAATAGAAAAATTTCTTAAATTATCATCTTGAATATCAATATGAATGTCATTGACGCGTTTATTATGGATATGGTTTTCAATTTCCGTATAGACATTGTAATCCTCACGTCTTAAACTACCCACGTTCGGTATACGCGAGTTTTTTCCAATTCCGGTCATATTAAAGATATTTTCTTTTAAAACTTCCAAATTTGAATCGAATGCAGCATTATTATCTTCAATTTTTGAAATTGATAGAACATTGTTTATTCCGTTATTCATGAACTTTCTTTTTTGTTCATTTGTCAATTCTTCACAATCTCGTACAATACAAATTATTTGATGTTCATTTAGACCAAATGAGTTTAGCATTTTGAATATTGTATCAATTTCGTTGAATGATTTACTTTGAAGAAGAATCCAACAGTTCTGAATAGGCATCATCATAAAGAACACTTTAAGGAGATGTGTTTGCTTGCG